CACCAAGTAGTTCAACGATATCATGTTTCCAGGACTCTGGTTGGCGTCGACAACGTGCTGAACCTGCGATACAGATGCAACTGTGGACTGTTTGGACAAATGGCCCATGTAGCTCTACCAGGCCTAACACACCCGGCCAGGTCCAAGAAAGTGCTGGACATGTTTCAACTTGCTAACGTGGCATCAATCGCAGAACAGGCGTGCTGGGGCGACGAGAGGAAGGAGGAAGAGCTCAGGAAAAAGAGCTCCTGCTACATCACCCCGTATGGATTGGCGCTTGCCATAGATGCCCATCGCCGACGTTGCATAACATATGCGGATGCCGTGGAAAGCGCCAGAGGGCTGAAGTTTGACCACCCTGCAGTGTTCTCCTGGCCAGTGCCATACGATCTTGGAGCACATCTAACGACTGCCATTGCTCTCCAAGGCAAGCTACGGGTACCTGGTGCACAAGTGGATAGAGAGCCGGAGATCTTCATCGCATTGCCGCCTGCCTTCGCTCGTGTCAACGCTGATGTGGATTATGGGCGCAACGTGACGCCGTACGTGTACGCCGACTGGAGTGGATTAGCAGAGAAGCTTGTGACGATGCCGATCGTAACTTCCCTGATCGTTGTGTGGCCAGATACTACGCCGGAAAGTCGGGAGATGCGCCAAGTGTTGATCGCCCTGGAACGCCACTTGCAGCCTGGAGGCTCGCTTGCATTCTTTCCGAGCCCATACGAGGATGACAATGATACGGAATGGATGCATATGGGACGGGTCTGCGCTGAATACGTCCGCTACATGACGGACCCGCAGCGTTCCTTTGAAGCTATCGTGCGGGATCACTACAGTGACGTTTTGGAAGGAGCGCCGTTCACCCACCCTGCCGGATGCCTTGGGTACGCACCCGCGCCGCGGTAGGTCACAGTTCGGTGGCTACCAGATCAGGCTTTTCTTGGACAAGTTGCGAGTCACCATCAACGACTTGATAAAGATGGACGAATTCGAAATGGCCTCTGAGGAACTCAGGGAACGACGTCAGAGGGAAAAGCAGGACCAGAGGCGACGCCGACGCGAGGAAAGGATGCCAAACTTCTTTGTCATCAGGGACCCGGAGCGTGTTCGTCACAATCGTCCAATTTCGTTCCGG